AAAAATCTGTGGGTGAACTGAAGAGGGCTGTGCACAGGAGTTGCCCTTGCAATATGACAGATTTGGAAGTGTTTTTTCAAGGAAGAGTGGGCAAATATTGCCAAGTCAAGATGTGCCATGCTGATAGACTTATACCCAAAAAGACTGAGTGCCGGAATTAAATCAAAAGGTGCTTCAACAAAGTATTAGTTTAAGGGTGTGCACACTTACTGTATGAAACCATATTATTTTATTTTTACTTCCCTCCACCTAAAAGATTTCAGTTTGTGATTCAACACAGCTACATCAACAGTTATAAGTGGGTGTGAACACATTATGCAACCCATTATTTTAGTTTTTGCTGTTTACTTCCCTCAACCTAAAAGATTTCAGTTTGTTTTTCAATTGAGTTGTACAGTTTATAGGTTACATTAAAGGTGGAAAAAGTTCTGAAATATTTATCTTTGTCTCATTTTTTTACATCACAGAAGCCTGACATTTTAACAGGGTGTGTAAACTTTTTATATCCACTGTAGGTGTTACTGCTCTAGTATAGGGCCTTGGTGATCTGATCTAGGTGTTATTGCTCTAGTACAGAGCCTTGGCGATCAGAGCTAGGTGTTACTGCTCTAGTATAGGGCCTTGGTGATCTGATCTAGGTGTTATTGCTCTAGTACAGAGCCTTGGCGATCAGAGCTAGGTGTTACTGCTCTAGTATAGGGCCTTGAGGAAGAGAGCTAGGTGTTACTGCTCTAGTATAGGGCCTTGAGGAAGAGAGCTAGGTGTTACTGCTCTAGTATAATCCCTAAGGATTAGAGCTAGGTGTCATTGCTCCAGTATAGGGCCTTGAGGATTAGACCTAGATGTTAATGCTCTAGTATAGGGCCATGAGGATCAAACCTAGGTGTTACTGCTCTAGTATAGGGCCTTGAGGAAATGAATGCAGAAAAGTGCCATTCTTACACTGTAAGTGATGTGAACCAACCTTTATTCCTACTTAACATTTTGATGCCAAATACCTAACCTTTGGGTGCCAAAATTTGACTCAGGCCTTTGACCCTGACCTTGACCCTGATTTTGATTTGATCACAGTGATCACATAGTACCAATACCATGTGATAGCTGTGACCATTCACAGCATCACAGTAGTAAACAAAAGTTTAATGAATTAAACCTTTTAACACTTTTACCAATTGCTTATACAGTGATCATCACTGTAATAAGCAATCACAGTGTGAAAAAAATATCCCTAATCACCCAATCCAGAGTAGTACAATGTCACTATGATAACACTGCACTGCTCTGGTGACAGTATGTAAAATAAAATGTAAAATAAATTTTTTTTTAATTTTTTTTACATGCTGTCACCAGTCATTGTCCCTGATTATTGCCACAACAGTTTTGCTGTCCCTGATCACTGTCACAAGAATTAGGGCTTGTTCAAATGGCCAATTATCTCCATGTACCTTGCAGGAACATGTTCTGCCGCCACGGGAATGCACAGGTGTTGAGCGCATCCCTGTGCATGGACACAACTGCTGTTTCTCCCACATGTGGTACTGCCACACAGGAGTGACAGTGTTTTTGGGTTGTAATTCTAAGTATGCCTATGCTGTGTATAAGAAATATTATATTAAGTTTACAATTTTATGTAAAAAAAAAATTTTCATCTTTATTCTGCATTTCCAAAAACTTGTGCCAATAAAATGAACTCTTCCAATGACTCTTTAAAAAATACCTTGGGGTGTTTTACTCTTCAAAATGTGGTCATTTTGTGGGATTTTCTACTGCCCTCGTGCTCCAGGGCCTCAAAAAATGTGATAGGTAGTCAGGAAATTAGATGCGTATTTTATGCCCCTAAAATGCTGGAGCATGCTCCTTGGATTTTGGGCCCCTTTGGGTGACCAGGCTGTTAAAAGGTCTAATGGATGTGGTATCCCCATTATCAGGAAGCATAGCAGAATGTGTTTTGGGGCGTAGTAATAAGAATTTGTATGTGAGACATAACTTTGCAAAAAAAATGTATTTAATTTCTTAATTTCTTATTTATTTATTATAGGTACTTGTATAGTACCGTCAGTTTACGCAGCGCTTTACATATATATTGCACATTCACATCAGTCCCTAACCCTCAAGGGGCGTACAATTTTAGAAAATTGTGACAAAAAATTGGCCATTGGCTCCTGCTGCTGTCAATCACAGTTGGTGAGGAGGGAGCAGAGTGTAGGGCCAAGACATGATCTGTGCGTCAATGAACAAACACAGTGGGCTCAGGAGCACACCCGCACAAGTGCCCTATAGCAAGCAGCTTGCTATGGGGGTACACAGATGGGAGGAGGAGCCAAGAATGCCAGCGAGGAACCAAAGTAGGGGAGAATCAGGGCTGCTCTGTGCAAAATAATTACACAGAGCAGTAAGCATGATATGTTTGTTTCGTTTTTTAAAAATTATCTTTTACAATCACTTTATTTTTGATGCTTTATAAATAGCCAGAATTTTGAAATCACACACAATAGTGATGAAGTGCGGCTAGTTTGCAGAAGAAAAAATAACTGCAATCTCTCGACATAAATCATTTACTGAAATATCCATGCTTCCTATCAGTCACCAGGAAGTAAGGACCAGAATTCAATATCCAGTGACGAGGCCAAGTTTGCTTAGATATTGCTCTCCAGGTGGCCTTTCCAAGCAGGTAAAAGCTGTAGGAAGGCTTTAAAACCCAATGGGTAAAGCATCCACATATAGCTTTGCCATATAAAATTGGTAATAACTCAGAGGTCATGTATTCTTAGGCCCTGTTCACACTCATACACTACACACAAAATTACCTCTGTCATTATAATCAATGTCATTTCTGCCATTTCTCTGCTTTCCTCACTTCATCTTTTCAAAGTCCTGTAGCTTTAGGCTACGTTCATAGTGGTGCTTTTTGATGCAGTTAGATGCATATGACAGAGCATGCATAATGAGATCTGCCATTATATGGAAGTGGAAACAGTACTATTGTATCATAATGGCATAGATGTTTATGTGAGGCATTTCACATGCATTTACCAAAACTATACAAGTGTCAAAGGGTGACCCGGAACATAAAGTAACAGAAGGCACAATCAATTTTTTTCCATAACAAAATACAGGTATATATATATATATATGTGTGTGTATATATATATATATACAATATATACAGTGCATTCATAAATTATTCAGACTCCCTTCACGTTTTTCAATTTTGTTATTTTGGAGCCTGATACTACAATTGTTTAAATTCATTTTTTTTCTCATTCATTTGCACTCAGTACCCCATAATGACAAAGTGAAAACAGAATTTTAGAAATGTCTGTAAATTTTTTGAAAATAAAAAACTGAAATAAAACTGGACAGTGCAAAATCTGGTGCAACTCTGCATGGAAACCAGTCAGCTTCCAGGTTTTTTTGTCATAGCTTAATTGAACAAGTTGAAGTTAAAAGCTGATTGGCTACCATGCACCGCTGCACCAGATTTTTCACTCTTCAGTTTCAGCAAATCAACCCCATAATATATATACTATATTTCCAAAAGTATTGGGACACACTTCCAAAGCATTGGATTCAGGTGTTCCAATCACCTCCATGGTCACAGGTGTATAAAATCGGGATAATGAATATATGAGTATAAACTCAGTTACAAAGTGTTAGGCAAAGTGGTAATGCCACATAAAATGACGTGGGGTCAGCGCATGCTGAAGTGCACAGTGCCCAGAAGTCACCAACTGTCTACAGAGTCAATAGCTAAAGACCTCCAAACTTTGCGTGGCCTTCAGATTATCACAACAACAGTGCATAGAGAACTTCATGGAATTGGTTTCCATGGCTGAGCAGCTGCATCCAAGCATTACATCATCAAGTGCAATGCATAGTGTCGGATGCAGTGGAGTAAAGCATGCCGCCACTGGACTCTAGATCAGTGGAGACGTGTTCTCTGGAGTGACAAATCATGCTTCTCAGTCTGGCAATCTGATGGATGTGTCTGGGTTTGGCGGTTGCCAGGAGAACAATACTTGCCTGACTGTATTGTGCCAAGTGTAGAGTTTGGTGGATGGGGATTGTGGTGTGGGGTTGTTTTTCAGGGCTTGGGCTCAGCCCCTTAGTTCCAGTGATGGGAACTCTTAATGCGTCAGCATACCAAGATATGTTTGACAATTTCATGCTCCCAGCTTTGCGGGAACAGTTTGGGGATGGCCCCTTCCTATTCCAACATGACTGCAAGTGCACAGTGCACACAGCAAGGTCCATATAGACATGGATGAGTGAGTTTGGGTGGAGGAACTTGACTGGCCTGCACAGAGTCCTGACCTCAACCCGATAGAACACCTTTGAAATGAATTAGAGCAGAGACTGCGAGCCCGACATCAGTGCCTGACCTCACAAATGCACTTCTGGAAGAATGGTCAAACATTCCCATAGACACACTCCTAAACCTTGTGGACAGCCTTCCCAGAAGCGTTGAAGCTGCTATAGCTGCAAAGGGTGGACCAACTCAATATTGAACCCTATAGACTAAGACTTGAAATTCTTAATAAATAGTTACAGAAACAATTGAGTACTGTCCGTGATATTTTTTTATTTGCACTAACATACAATTTTGAGGACAAGCTTTCGGGGTATGTCCCCTTCTTCAAAGTCCAAATAGTACGATTACAAATCACAAAGTTTAAGCAGAATGTTAGAAGGGATTGAAAAAAAAAAAAAAGGCTACAGATAAGATACATCAAAAGCGAGGGGGGGGAGGGGGGATACTACACTCACACAGAGGGTGTCAAGCTTCAGATAATACATAGTTAAAAAGCTAAGATTTAAAAAAAAAAAGTGCTGAAACTTTTTGAAGACTTCTCGGGTGTGTGTGTGTGTGTGTATATATATATATATATATATATATATATATATATATATATATATATATATATATATATATATATATATATATATATTATGGGGTCGATTTACTAAAACTGAGAGTGAAAAATCTGGTGCAGCTGTGCATGGTAGCCAATCAGCTTCTAACTTCAGCTTGTTCAGGTAGGCTTTGCCAAAACAAAACTGGAAGCTGATTGGTTTCTATGCAGGGCACCAGATTTTGCACTCTCCATTTTAATAAATCAACTCCTGTGTGTATGCGTGTGTCAGAACACAGATTAATATTTACAGATGCATCCAGCTTTGATTTAAATACAGAAAACCGAGAATAAATAAAATGTTTTAGAATACATCTGCCTGTCAGCACTAAGATTGTTGGTTTGAAACTTAACCACAGCAACTACCTGCATGGAGTTTGCATGTTCACCCTGTGCCTGTGGGGATTTTCTCCCACACTCCAAAAGACATGCTAGTGGTAGGTTAATTGGATCCTGTCTAAATTGGCCCTAGTATGTATATGTATGAATGTAAGTTAGGAACTTTAGATTGTAAGCTCTTTGATAGCAGGGACTGATGTAAATGTACAATATATATGTAAGCAGTGCGTAAATTGTTGGTGCCATATAAGTACCCATAATAAATATGAAAAATCTACTGTAGAGCACTGCCTATTTCAGTTATTCTACTAGTTCAAAGTTTGACAGGGGTGATGGGACCTAAAGCCTATGTTACACTGCCATCTGCTGATCCTTTGGGGAAAATTTCCTGAAAGAGGAAAGACAGCATTTATACAGCAAAGTAAATGTTCAAGTTAGCTTAATAAATAACGCAATGCTATGTTCAAATCAGGTTCAAATTAAAATCATGTCCTTTTGAATTCCCTTGTACATGATTGGATATTCAAAGTGAGCACCACTGCTCTTTGCACTCAGATCATTTCTCTTCTTTTTTTAAGTAAGGCTACATTCACATTAAAACAATCAAGGGTACTAGATTACCCCAAAAGGAGGTTTCTAAAAGGACCATGCAGCTTAGTAGAGAATGTCCTTTATTGAAAATATAATAACAAAAATGATATATACACAAAGATGCAGACATGCTGCATTTTTCTGCACTGCAATGCACTACGCATTACACCAGCATTGTGGTCTGAATGGAACACATAGAAAACAATTTTTTTCCATGTTGTCCAGCATGGAAAAACACAGGTCACTGCACATAGTGTGAACTAGCCCTAAATCAAGTCAACCAATTCATCAGTTTGTCTTTAAAGAAAACTTGTACTAAAAGAAATATCAACACTACCATTACCAACTTATGTTGAAAGTGTTAGTTGCCTGGCTGTCATGCTAATTTATTATCTGCAGTTCCTACTGAATCACTGACCCAGAATAAGTATTTAGTTTTTACTTTATCCATATGAAAGCCGATACTGCCAGGCATCTAGCATTTTAAGAAGGTCAACAATGAAAGCCTACTTACTTGTCCTACTTACAGTTTTTTAAAATATGTTTTGTTTACTTATGCAAATATTTCTTCCAATATATAACTAACAGAGTACAAGGTTTTAGCTTCAGAAGGTACAATGTACCAGTAGGTATATTTAATCATTGCTATATCCAAGTGCTTATTTGTAAGTAAGTCAAAGAGCAATGATGAGGTGCAAAGTGCTATAGTCCACAACAACAAAACAGCTTTCCTTTGTCTAGAGATCTTATAATAATAATAGATAATTACTTATTGCCTTTGTGATAGCTATCAGGTTCACCATCTGATCAGTCTTTTTGCAGCCTAGCTGTTAAAAATGTGACATGCTGCAATAGTAAATAAAGGACAGAAACATTTTTAAAATAGGAATGATGTTTTTTTTTTTGCAAAGCAAAGAACAAAAGCTTAAGTAATTGAATACCAATGATCCATTTTCTGAGGCCCACTGCAACTCATGGAAGAACACATTCACTCACCACCAGCAACAGGAGATACTCCCCATTGGTGAAAGGGCATTACTGAAAGGCAGGCCATAGATCACGGGTTGCAGGAAAGAAATTCACACAATTCCCCCATCAAAATAGACAGTGCTGACAGGGTATACCCTCCTGCCAAGCCCGTCCCCATCCCCGCCTGGAGAAGACAGTGATTATTGCAAGAGGCTATAGCAGCTGCTAGCGGTAATCGCACATGAATACGGCAGGCTTATTGTACCCAAGTTGATCAATCAATCAACTTGGTACATGCAGCCTGTCCACACACGTTTGAATCTTGGCCAGTTCCTGCTGGGTTGTCAATGGCCGACCTAATGCGCCAAACTACTAAACTACTAAGTTTTTATTTCAGTAGCTATATAGTCTTATTCCAGTAGTTTGGTGTCTTTAAATTAGTTTTATTGAAGCAATTTTGTCTCTAAGCTGCCAAATTGCTGAAATAAGGCATAAACACCAAACTAATGGACTACTAAGTACTTATTTCAGTCACTAAATATTCTTATTTGATGAGCCTGCTCCCTTACAGTTATATTTTAAAAAAATGTATAGCAATTTACCCAGTGAAAGTGCATGTCCATTTGTTATATGCCAATGGAGCAAAATAAAATGTTATTAGGCTATTCCTCTACTGGTTGAGTGTTTTTCAATTATTTGAAATGAAAATACCACATTTGACCACTGGATGGTGCTAAGTATCATAGGAAATTCCTATGATGTATTTAGTGAGGGCCCCTACAAATCCATACCTGACCCTTCTGAGCATGCAGCCTGCCTGGCCAGGAAAGGGGGGGACAAGGGTCTCTTTCCCACAACCCCTGGCCTGGTGGTTAAGGGGATCTGTGGGTGGGTGGGAGGGATTCTCGGAATATGAAACCCCCCCATTATCAATACCGGGGCACCCAGGATTCCAAACCATGTATTAAGTATAAGGTTCACCAAAAAAAGTTGTAACCTGGAAATAAAGATACCAATACTTTTGACAAGTCTTTTATTAAACCAAAGGAAGGAAAAAACAAATTCCTCTGCTGAGACACATCATGCGCATTCACTTGTCACCCACCAGATGAAGAACTGCCCAGTGGTGTCTTTGCCTATATATGGCCATATATGGTAATGTCTATCTATGGGGCAGCACAGTGGCTAAACGGAGCAGCACAGTAGCTAAACGATTAGCACATCTGTCTGGCAGTACTATAGTTGTTGGTTCAAATCCCAACCATGGCACCACCTGCCTGGAGTTTGCATGTTCTCCCTGTGCCTGCATGAGTTTCCTCCATTACGCCTGTTTCCTACCACATTCCAAAGAATTGCATGTAGTTTAATTGGATCCTGTCTAAACTGGCCCTAGTATGTGTATGTATGAATGTAAGTTAGGGACTTTACATTGTACGCCCCTTGAGGGTTAGGGACTGATGTGACTATATATATGTAAAGCACTGCATAAATTGACAGCACTATTTACGTACCTGTAATAAATAAATAAATGGCCAATGACATTACCTGGGAGACCCTTCCCCTTGCAAATACATGCTGTATCCACTGGTTTTGAGAATCATACCAAACCCTGAGCTCATTCCTGGTGACAGGACAAAGCTTAATGCTGCCCAAGCCCCCTAACTTGTTACAGTGTGCTGTAGTCTTCTCTCTATCCAGCTACAGTCAGTCCCCTGTCCAACACTGGTCTGCCAAAGTTGGTTACAAATAGTCTTTTTTCCAGCTACAGTTTGCCACAGTCATGTGGTCATGTGTGTCAGGTTCGTTGGGTTTTTTAATTTCCATTAGTCAGTGGGCATCATGATGGTGAATTTACAATGAGGGACTTTTGTGAGATTTTTATTTAAAGGACTTGTCGAATGTTTGGATGTCTTTATTTCTAGGTTAAATTTTTTAAATAAGTAGGGATACGATCTACCCCTTTCTCATTCCCATATTATTTAATTGGGTGCCTCTGTTTTTTTAAAAGCAGGCTTCTAGATTCCATAAAGCTCCAACTCGCAGACACCCACATCCACTGGGCCCCCCTGGCAAGGCACCCTTCCTCGGGCTGATGGTATGTGGCCTGGTATGGTTAGAAAGGGGGCTGCACACTCATCCCTGTTATTTTCTGGCCAGCCCAGCTATATGCTTGGGTTAAATGTCTACATGTAGTATCGATTTTAATGAAGGCCTTCGTCTTTTTTGTTGTTTTTTGGGGGTTTTTTGCACGAGGACCTCCCTCAAAAATCCATACCAGACTCAAAGGGACTGGTATGCTTTTTGTTGGGAGAGGGGGAGATGATGCTACATATTTTTTTTTAAGTTTTGCTGTAGGATGTATAGTGATACAGGATACAGTTTAAAATACTGGGTAAATGACATTTCGTTATCAGATTCTTTAAAAAAAAAAAGCATGCAGATCCCTCCAAATGCCCCTCAAATAATTTGAGGGACCTTTGGAGGAATTCGTATGCCCTTTTTTAAAAAGAAGTCAGAAAGTAAATGTCATTTGCTTGCAATTTAAAACCATTTTTCCTTTGTAAATGTCAGTGGTTTAAAAAAATCACTGCTCTCAACCAAATTATTATTTTATTTTTTTTTTTTGCACTTGTACACATTGCCCAGGGCAGTGCCCAACCCCATGCCCACATGCTACTTTTTAAGAACCCTTTGCTTATTAGTCCAGAAAATAGGGATTTTTGATTTGACAGTTTTGGATCCCATTGATTTCAATAGGGTCCTGGGTTCAGCAACCAAACCTCTTTAAAGTTTGCCGAATCCTGCTGGAATAAAACCCAGGGTAGTTCTGTTCATCCCTACTGCTAATAAAAGAAGGACCCCAGCAAGGATCCTTCCAGAACAGGGTACAGCTGTTTTTTTAGAGCATGGTGATAACACCTGATTACAAACTTAACAGAGACCGGACAGTTGATAAGACAGGCAGACCTCTGCACCACTTCCCTGGCACAGTATGCTGAAGTCTACTCAACAGAATCTGGCAGATAATGTAATACAGAGAACCTCTAGGCACAGCCTTCTGAAAGAGTCCCTTCAAATATCAAAACAACACTTAAATAAAGCAGAGCTTAGAGAAAACATCCCTATATATACACAATTACCTTGCTTCCAAATGACACATTACTTTTTATCTCCATTACATACCAGGGGCGGACTGACCATTTGAAAATTCGGGCACTGCCTGAGGGCCGGGGGTCAGTAGGGGGCCCCATGAGATGCCCCTGGTACCTTTTTCATAGGCTTTTTTTGAGTTTGGGCAAGCAAGGACACAGGGG